TATAAATATAAACATGAAGGTTGTTGAATAACTTCATATTGAGTAGATGACAATATATATCAATTTTTGTATTCCAATATATAATATTAAAAGTTTTTCTTTTTTTTTCATACAATTTATTCAAACAATTATAAGAATTAAACAGTTTATCTTCGACCATTGTCCTTTCTACCATTTTAATTTTTATGTTTGCATTTGCATATCTTGTTCGAAATGTGATTTTCACCATAACTTAAGTTGCATTTGCTCGTACTTGCGTACCTCATCAATTTCGATTAAATGGTATTATGAGTTTTATTGGCATCAATGCTACTCATTATGATAGTTTGCTTTGTTAGCAACTCTGTTACTTGCAATATTTTAAACTTCCAATGAGTGATTTGGTGCTTATTGGTTTGCCATTTTATACACCTCATCAATTTTAAAAAAAAAATGCAAATTTAGTTTTATTTGACAATCCTGTTTTTGTTAACCAACGAACTTATTGGACATGATATTCATGTCGTTCATTGAATTCGTTATTGCACAAAATATTTTTCATCTTCCCTTTCAACATTAAAATGATTATAGAGTTCAATGTTTGAAATATCGATCATATATTATTATTATTTTTTTTTTCTCATTGACTTTTCTTATACTCTTTTATTATGGTTTTTTTTTTTTTTTTTTTTTTGTCACGACAATAAACTCTATCAGACCTTCTTCGAGTGTCAATTTTAATTGACATTTATGACGTAGACATGATTAATTAGCTGATACTAATGATATCTAAAAAAATGATTAAAAGTTTTTGCGTCTTTTGCTAAACCCATTAATATGTAAGAAGAATAACCATCGCTTGAATACATGCTTCAATATTTCTTTGATGTTTCTTTCCCCTCTTTATGAATGCAAACAAATATTATTCACATTTATTAACATAAAATATTTGTGAACCCCTGAATTTAAACTTATTTGCATAAAAACCAATTTATATTCATTAACATGCGTGAAGTTGAAAATTTTTTGAAAGTGAAAGAGAAATAGAAAATATTTTAAAACATGCGTATTTTACTATTTTCCGAAAATTGGTAACCATCAGTGAGCCCTCAAGCGGATATATTCCCTTACACTTTTGTACCATTCTTTGATGTCACGAAAAGTAAAATAGATCATGAACGTCTATTTGAAAATTTGTGAATCAAAAGATTTGTTATTTATCAAAACATTATCACCAAAGTATTTTTCCATCTCAAGTCAACCATTGCCTTTATGTAATTATAGTAAGACTGAAGGTAAGTTTTTAAAGTTTGTGAATTGTACCACTTAAATATATTAGAAAAAAAAAGATTTGCAAACAAAACTATTTGCATCGCCAGTATAAACACAACAACACAATTGCTCAACCATAATCACGTCATGCACCACGCCAAATGTTTTGTTAATACGTGTGAGTAAGAAAATAAAAACACTAATGTGTTTCAAACCTTCTCTCCTATCTGCCTCCATCTCTTCTTCCCCACAATCAAACTTGATGTCATAGTGCACTACACCGAATCATGTCCATTGCCACCAAAAACGAAAACCAATGATGAACCTTCAAGCTCCCACTTTATTTACCTTGATGTGTCATGTCTTCCATCTCACGCACATCTTTCTCCCCCCACCCAACCATTCCATCCAATGAAATATTCGCTCTACGCAAACTTAGTGAGTGTGCAATCCCTCAATATGTGCTAGCAAAAAAAACCCATTGTAATTCCGTCTCATATTTTTCTCTTTGTGTCCTCCCCTCTCCCTCCCTACCCACCACATGCCCTACAACGCACTTAGGGGTCCTGCTATTGAGCATGTTGTTTTTGATCTTCAAGCGGACTGATAACTGCAAGACCGACCACCGCAAGCACATTCACTCAATCCCCTCTCTCATTCCTCGTTCTCAATTTCGTTTCCCTTCAATCACATGTCTCAATTTCCACACTTGTACCTCCAATAGACAACCATCTTATGCATGTTAATTATTATTTTTCATTTTATTTAATTTATCACTAGGCTACCAGTCGGGCTGGGCGGGTCACCTTGTTTTCCCGGGCTGCCCGTCCTTGCAAGAACCAAAGGTCCCCCCCCCCAAGAAAGAGAAATCCAAAAATTTATAGGCTACCAGAGTGGCCCGGGACCCCTTGCCCGGCCGGGCAAGAAAATCTTAAAAAAATAAACATTATATTTTTATTTGATTTTTATAATTTTTTAATTAAAATTCGGAAAAGAATTCGATGTGACCCTAAGGCAAAAGATGTGCAGTTTATTTTTCAAAATTTTCTGCATAACATAGCTTTTTTTTTTCGTTTTTTTTTTTTTCTGTTTTTGTTTTTTTCCTAGGACCTTTCCTGGTCCTTGCATGGCTGGCCTGCCCGGGAAAATAGGGTGACCCAGGCGGCCCGGCTTGTGGCCTAGGAAAATTCTGAAAAAAAAAATAAAATATTATCACGATTTGATTCATTTTCTATCTAACTGTCTATTTTGACGTACGCGCGAATACCAAAGTGATGGTCTACTCACACGAGTTCTTTTGCTAAAATTGCAAAATTTGCTATGGTTTTGCAGTCCCACTTTGCCCACCTGCCCATCATATTCGCAATCGTTGTGGCCAATGCTTGCAGTTTGCAGGGCTGCCAGGTTGAGCAATTTACCAGCGTACCTCTACAGGTGCTAGCAAATTTTTATTTTTTTCCACGTATCTGTGAGCTCCCATGGGAGAATTGCTGGCATCCCTCTACTCCTCTTGCTGTGTAACCACACCAGTGGGCAATTTCACAAATGCCAGGGTGTCGGCGCATCGTCTTTTTCAAGTCGGTACTCCTGTCCCTGTGTGACTGCACAACACGGCACACTGGAAATGGCTGTCGGGGCATCGTCTTTTTCAAGTTGGTACCCGTCCCTCTGTGACTGCGCAACACAGCACACTGGCAAACTGGGAGTCGCAAACCTGACAAAGGTCGTCGTTTTGCTACTGACAAAATTGGGCGCTCCAGGCCTGATCATCCGAGCATGTCAGGGCACGTTACGCACCGCAACTGTCGAGGTAGTGGTGGTCTAGCTTTGCCCCATCAAGGTATTGTCCTTAAAAAACTCCATAAACCCGTAGCTTAACACCATTTTCAATGAAATAGGATACCAAGTAATAGCAACAATGGAACCAGCAGTCACATGCAAAACTACGACTTGTGTGATGCCTACAAGCAGGAGAATCTACCAACAGCCTTTCAAAGCGAACAAATCAAGGGCTCAAAATGCATTCTGGCAAACCCCAACCCCCCGAACGAATCAAGGGCTCACAGAGTAATGCGACCTCAATAGTCGCACAGCATGATTAACAGATCGTTCATTCTCGTCTCTTCTCCCCAAAACTCTTGCATGTGTGATGCCACAGAGGGAGCTCTCCTGTGGCTTCTTGCTGTGTGTTTGCCTTTTATATCGAGGTAGAAATAAAGGAGCATATCCTCCGAAAACTCCGTTATCTAGGTTACGCCACACACTTGCCGCGAGTGCTGTACCTTGTGCACGAAGCTGGCTCTGATACTCCTTCCTCCTCAGAATTACAAAAAGCCTGACCCACACACTCTCTCCACTACTATTGCCTACGTCTGAAATTTTCCACCGCCGCCATGGATCATGCTCTCGTATACAACGAAGGGCTGCATGGCGGAGTCGTGGCGGCTCGAACGAGGCCTAGAGTGGCCATGACGAGAAACTCCAGCCACTGACTTGCACCATCGTATCATGATCCTGTGATCCCGACTGTGAACGTGTGTGGTGACGCAAAACATTATGCAATTGTGCTCGATGTCTGAGGTTCACGACCTCCACGCTCAGGCAAACCACACATTCAACCTAGCGGGTTCGGGAAAAAGGCGGTTTGTTTCAGATCTGCAGCGCCTGTGGAGCACAGGTCACAAGGCTGAAACTCAAAAGGAAATAATAGGGGGGCTGCACAAGTGGCGGAGTGCATGGTTTAACAACTTTAATTCGATACAACAAGCAGACCGTTTTCTGACCTCTGCATGGTCTTCTTTTTTTTTTTTTTTTTTTTTTGGCATGGTCTTGGCATGAGGTGAGATGGAGAGTTCCTTTCTTTTCTTTCATTCTCTTTTTTTTTTTTTCATCTTTTTCTGATGATTTGTTAGGCAAAGTTCTGCACTACCACTTCAAAGTTCAAAGTTCAAACAACACAGTCTCTTGTCTCCATGTCGACTTGCCGACTTTGCAAGATTGTCCCCCCCCTCCTCCTGACAATCTGTCAATCACCCTCTTCACCTGATGGCAGAATTGTGTGGTCAATCAAGATACAGCACTGACCCTCCCCTCCCCCCCCAAAAAAAAAAAAGAAAAGTGTGCTCTTTTAGGATTTCTGGCAAGACTTGAAATCTGACTTCTGCAGATATCCCCACAGAATACACAAACCTGATATTTCAGTACTTGCAAACTTAGTTTATGGAGACCCCCTCTGATTTTCTAATTCCCCCACTTTCTCATTGTTTCCAATGTTCCAAATTGTTTATTGTGTTCCCATTCTGACCATCTCAGTAAGTCGCACAAAGACGGCAGGAACCCTTTTTTTTTTTTTTTTTTTGTTTTCTTGATTTCCCTCATCATGTGATTTCCAAGTTATGACCTAATAAGGTGTAGTCGTAGGTAGGTAGGGAAAGGTGAATATAGAGAAGGGGAAAAAAAAAACCAGGTTATTTTAACTTATTTTTCAAATGGGTGATACCCTCATGATCATGACATGCTGCGATTTGAACTGATTTCCGATTTATTTTCCCATTTACTCGGCCCTGGAAAAGTCAAAATTTTTGTTTTCCCGTAAAAGTGGGGGTGGGGGGGGTGGGGGGGCATCACTCTTGCTCAGAAATACGCAAAGACAACACTTGTGAACAGGAGGGAACGAAGTCCGACCGGTGTGGGCAGGATGCTCATCACATTACCCAGTGGTACCTTTGACATTCCCAAACATCACCGCTTCCGCTAAAATTATACGCGCAAAAGAACACAGACTGTCAGAAAGAGAGAGAGCATCACCGCAGGTCATTTCTTTCCGAAGCTTCACTCTCCACACTTTACGGGAAGGGACTGAATCGCTCAAAAACCTCGAGAAAAAGAAGGAAAAAAACAAAACAAGATGGAAATATTCATCCTGTTTAAAAAAAAAAAAAAAAAAAACATTAAAAAAAAAAATAAAAATCATCCTGTTTCAATGTGGTCCATGCAGTTAGCGATATAGTCCTATCTCTACTCAAAATGAAAAATACTCCCTCAGCTGGAAGTGGAACAATGCCCCCTCTGTGAGTCACAAAGACATAGGGTGTGCCGCACCACTCGCCAAATCCCAGCATTTTGAAATTTGAATGCATCTGGACTCGTTATCATTTCCCCATACGTTCAAACTGTTGGCGTTTGGCGCATGTGTGCGACAAGGCCCATATTGTGCATTCCGGGCAACACGTCCAGCGAACACAACACACGGAAAGGCACTCTGCCTCACATGGACAGAAATGCCCCTGCTCTATGGGTTGCATCGCCACCGCCAGAGAACATCCATTACGCAAAAAGACAGCAACGAAATCACACACAAGTGTGGAACAAAACACATCATCGAGCCAAATGCAAGATTTCTGACAACCTTTTAGGGACATTTTTGTTCAGGGAAAAAACAAAATCACACCGAAGTGTGCAAAAAAAACACATCGTCCAGCCGGACGCCAGACTTATGACAGCCTTTTTGGCACACTGATCAGGTTACATAGGAGCCGCCGGCAGCCTCCCAGTGACTTGTGGCAGACAATTAGTTTACCTGAAGATAACTCGTAGCAAAAGCCTCTCGCAACAAAAAGAAGAGAGAGCGCATGCAATCGATTTTTAGCTCTGAGCGCATTCAGCAGCTTTTCCTGCAAATTCGTCACGACTACCGCCAGTGATGCCATTTCCCGCTTTCCCCAACGACATTTTGCACCCCATGTGCTCGCTTAGAGCCCTGTTCTTGTCCACGGGGGACGGGACCCATATAGACCCCATTCGATCCCAGGAGACGTTCAAGATCCAGGGCATATTGCCGATAGAATCAAAGCAGTAGAGTCTGCGTAGCCTCTGTAGGTACAAGCAGACGGCAAAAGTTTGTCGTGCAGGCACCACCTCCTTGATTTCCATGATCCCGGAACAAAATGTGGGGTCGGTAGCGCTTATCAATGACGGCCAATGTCAAAATTGCTGATTTAATCACACATGCAGCATCTGCAGAGTTTACGAGTTGGCAACGACGGCCAAGGTAGCATTTATCCTCGGCATCTTCTTGCATCTGACTGACGGAACACCGCGAGTCACGACAGGTGCCCATAGCTGCCGCAACTTCTTATGCAGATATGGCGTGACACTCTCCGATTTTACTTAGTGACCAGTGGCCGCCACCATGCCTCCGCCTGCCTCTCCCGTCTAAAATGTTGGTTGAATGCCTTTGTCCTCTTATGGACAGACATATGTGCTAACATCGCATCACGCGGATCGCCTTCATAGCAGCATATCACCATGCCCCTGCTGAAGATGGCCCCTGCTAACAGCACGGGTTTTGGCCGGACCACGTTTGCCGTAGTGGTGTCCCGAAAGTTACGATGCTCTTAGTCCGAAGCTTTTATGACATTCTTGTCCCTAAGTCTAAAATTGCCTTCTCCTGTTCATCATCTTCGTGAAGTCGTGGAAAGATATCACCATACATGCACAGCACACACAGGTGTGATTACAGCACATGCTGCACTGACATGGCTTGGAAACACACATCAATGCCTTCTCCCGCCACGTCTATTTCCTCGTTGCTTTATGCTCCTCCAACATCTTCGCGAAGTCGTGGAAAGCTATCGCCAACATGCACAGCACACAGGTATGATGAGCCAACCATCACAAGTAGGCCATAATGTTTGAACAAGTTAATTCCTTTCTTCTTCTTCTTCTTCTTCTTCTTCTTCTTCTTCTTCTTCTTCTGCTCTCTCCTCTCAAGTTTCATTCATTTCTTTGCAATTGGACGGCATTGTGCTTTGCACTTTGAAATTGGCCAGGATCATAACGTTTGTTTCTTTTTTCCAAATTTGGTGCCGATAACTTAGACTACTTAGTGTTTAGTATTTACTATTTACTATTATTTATGCATACCGCCTTCAATCAAGGAACCCAAGCATCTGGAAAGGTTCAAAGTTGACAAAATAAATAAATAAATCATTGTTCAATTTCGTCACGCGAGCAAAATATTTCAAATTTAACAAAAAGGCAGATCTTGGGTAGTTAGAGGTAATGTGGTTTAAAGACAAGCTTTTTTTTTTTTTTTGTTGTTGTTGTTGTTGTAATTCACACATGTTGGCTTTCCTTTCTATTTGTTTGTTTTACCAGGGATCACATGCAAACAAACAAACAAACAAACAAACAAACAAACAAACAAACAAACAAACAAATAAACAAACAAACAAACAAACAAACAAACAAACAAACAAACAAGCCGAGACGAGAAAACACCGATGCAAAAGGTGGTATACAGGACCGGCGTCCTCCATGCTTACCAAGGTCTGAATCATGGGGTCCTGGCGATGCCTCTGGATGATATTGGATGCTCATTGCCTTCATCGCCGGGTACACCATCCCGGCGCATGTCCCGTCGTTGAGATTAACATGCGTTACTTCCACGCCTTCTGGCAGAGTGCTGATGTCAACAGCATAGTTGTGATTCTGAGAGCAGGCAACCATCAAAACAGGGATACGCCAAACAGGAAAAAATAAGCAAGGAGCTCTATTGTTGAGTTCCGGTACAACGGGGAGGTTGGTGATCTTTGCTTCGCTCCGCCAAGTGGCTTTATTGCATTTTGGTTACGGAGATGAAAATGGCAAATTAATTCATTTGCATTGAAAAAGATTCAACAACAGTTTGTTCTTTGCAAAGTGAAGGGACATACGATCGTCAATAAAGAATCACTCTCTCCAAGACAAGCTCCCCTGAGCAAATATGGGCACTGGCTTATGCTACTTTGCTAAGGCATCCCCAAACAATACACCACAATAATTGAGAGTCTTTTGAGACACTTGATTCACTTCTACATACGCAGAAGCTATTCGGTCAGGGATACTGCTCAGCCGTTACTCCAGAGTTTGATCCGTTGCTTCCTTCGCCGCTGATTGGCTTCTTTATTCTACAACAGAACTGCACCAGCCTCCCCCCCCCTGCCCCCCTAAACACACACACACACACACACACACACACACACAAACACACACACACACAC